TATTACAAAGTAGAAGACCCTATTTATAGGGTTACAAATAACTGTAAAAGGAAAGAATCATAAAAGGAAAGATTACGCAATCTACTACTAAGGAAAGTAATCATACACTAAGGAAAGTAAATATTATAATAGCAATCTTTGATGATCTCTGTAATCTTATTCAATATCCTTGGCAGTTTAAAACCTTTGCGATTATACATATTGATTTCAATCTGAATAAGCTTTATTTTCACATATATAAAACATACATTCACATGACAACCAAGCATCTATTCTTGTTAATAAAGAAATGAATTTACAGTAGTCTTTGGGTATAAATGACTTCTTATATTTTCTTCAAGACTTAAATAGTCCAAACTTCTGCAAAAATAAGTATATTAGTAAAAAAAAATTAAATTCATCTTGAATATTGTGATAAAATCTCATTAACTAATTTAAGTATAAAAAACTTAAAAAACCTACAAGTTGTTTATAGTTAGCCCTTTAACGTCTATCATCAACTTTAGAATGACTTTAATTGTTGCCCGTACAACAATTACAATAATTAGATAGTATTATTTTGCGTAACAACTTATTTGTTACGATAATACAAGTTTTTCTTCTTCTTTCTATATATTCATTTTTCTCTATATATAGAAGAGTTTATTAAAATATTTCATAGTTAGTAAAATCACTAAATTAATTAAAATTTAAGCCATTTTGTGTAGATTCTTATTTTCATCTTATTTGAATTCCTATATAGCCTCATAAATGATATAACAAACATTGTTAGTCAATCAACTTATAATGAATACAATGAAGTTATTAAACTTTATTTAGAAATGAATAAATAACGTTTACTTTTTGTTTTAATTTGATGTTTGAAGAACCATTGAAAATCTATTTGAATTTCTTAGGGAATGTTCGACATTGAAAGACCCTCGAGATGTCATACTGGATTTCATTTCCCAAGTTGAGCATTCCATTCGAAACAAACAAAGATATAAAAGCAAACATCACCGATCACTTTAACAAAAAGGGTTTGACAACTAATATGAAACTTTGAAAGTCGAGCAAAATTTCACACACATGTATGCCACTATAAACCCAATCAAAAATTCATCGCAGAGAAGACAATGAAAGCAAAGTAGAGACATTAAATAGCCAAAGATTATACAAAATTAAAGTGAAAATTAAGGTATATGAAAAGAAAAATTAATAAGGGGAGAAGGGTTTTTAACTATCTACTTCAACAAGCTCATTTACAGCCTTAACAAGCTTTCATGAAGCTCATGTGTCCATTGAAACCGAAATTTCCAATGATCAAGGAGCCACTGATGATGTCCGAGAAATTATTCTTTTCTCGAACTTGAATTCGAGTACCAGTTAAAACATTTTCGCTAACAACCATCGCATGTTGATGTTGCTCTAGTTCTACATGAACCACCTATTGACCATCACTGTAGACTGGTTGTTGACTATGGTGATCATGAACAGGTAATCGATTTTTTATTTTCTTCTCTTGTTTTTGTTCTGCTCTGCCACTTACAGATGCTCTACTTGACCTCATTGCCTTTTTCCTCCTAAACTTTTGGTTCTTTAATGACTTTATCTAGTTCTTATCTAGCACTTAAAATGGAAAATATTAAGCTTTAGTTTGAGCCCCATTTTAAGGAAAGAATGCATATTGAAGTAGTAGATTAATAGAGAATATGTGGTTAAAAATTAAGGAATATTTCGGGTTTGAGTGTAATATTATTTAATTGAAAAATTTGTGATTGAAAATGAGTTTTGAAAAAATGAATTTTTAGAAAAATGGGGCACAAAAAAGCTCTAAATATATACAGCATGACAAAACTTAATTATAATTTATGTGGGTCAAATGTAGGACCCACAACTTATTAGTTTTGATTAAAAGTACTACCAAACATATATGGATTGTCTTGATATTATTTGTATTGATATCTTGAACAAGTAATATATTGGACTTAATTAATTCAAATTATCATTTTCACAAAGACTATTATTTAACCAATGATTTATTATTGACTATTGTAACGCATCAAGAGGTAATTTAGAAACTTAGACCCCATATTTAAATTCGAAAATTTGGATCAAATGATAGAGATGTGCTTTTATGGTTGTTGTGGCGAAATCAATAGTTCTAACATTCTCATTCATACGTAAAACCATAACTTGAGTTAGTTGTGCATTTTTAAATCGCTTTAGTAGAATTAAAGTATGTAGAAGATTAATTGAATCACGCTTAATTGCTTTTATTCAACTAAAAGTTCTTTTTTTATAAGCGTGGGTGTCTGAGCTAACTTGCTGCACCTCGATTAATTCCACGAGACCCTGAAGTTTACGGTCGGGTACTTACCTCAGTAGCCCTGAGGGGACTCGAACTGGTGACCATTGAGGAGCAATCCCAAGGCCTGACCAATTGAGCAACCCCTCAAGGTTTATTCAACTAGAAGTTATGAATAATAAATCAACGGTTAAATAATAGTCGTGATGAAAATCATAATCTAGGCTCTTAGTTCCACTATATTACTTGTTCACGATATCGTATACTTGTGATACAAATATTAACAACACTATCCATATATTTTTGGTAGTGCTTTTAATTAGTGATAATAAACTGTAGGTCCTACATTTGACTAACATAAATTATAATTAATTTTTTCCATTTGCAATAAATATTTAATTTACCTTTAAATGCCAGATAAGAACTAGACAAACTCATTAAGAATAAAAAAAACAATGAATTCAAGTAAGGCACCTACATGTGGTTGGTGGTGCTGTGCTGGCAGCTGCAGCGACGGAACAGAACAAAAACAAGAGAAGAAAATGGAGAATCAATCACCTGAAATTCATGATCAACTAGTCTATGTCGACAGTCAACAGGTGGTTCATACAGAAATAGAGCAACCTCAGCCTGCGATAGTTGGTGGTGCGATGGTTGGTGATGGAGATGTTATAACTAATACTCGAATTCAAGTTCAAGAGATGGATGGTTCTTCGAACATCATCCAAAGCTGCTCGGATCATCTGAAATCTCGACTTCAATGGACACAAGAGCTTCATGAAAAATTTGTCAAGGCTGTAAATGAGCTTGGTGGAGCAAATAGTTAATAACCATTCTCCCTTTTTTTATTTTTCATTTTTTATACCTTAAATTTCACTTTAATCTTACATAACATAACCTTTGACTATGTTGTCTCTGCATTACTTAGATATACAATCTAATAGTCTATTCATCATAAAAAATAATAAAAAAGGAAATTTATTGCATCACTTAAATTAACACATTATTATTTCGAATGTCTTCTTTGCGAAGAATTTTTTATTTTTTGATTGGGTTTATAGTGAAACACATACGTGTGAATATTACTCAACTTTATTTGAAGTTTTATATTAGTCGTCAAACCTTTGTGTTTTGTTTTGAAGTGATCAGTGAAATTTAATTTTTATCTTTATTTGTTTAAGATTAAAATTTTGTTAGTTTTTCGAATAGAATGCTCAACTTAAGAAATGAAATCCAAAATAAGATCATCGTGAAGGCCTTTCAATGTTGACCATTCCATGAGAACAAATAAAAACAAAACGTAAATGTCAATGAATCATTTCAAAACAAAATAAAGTTTAACGACTATCATTGAATTTATTTTAAGTTGACTTGACAGACTAATTATGTTTTATGTGTCACATATGAGATGACATATGAATTCAAATAAGATGAAAATAAGAAGCTTCACCAAAAGGCTTAAAATTTCAATTAGTTTTAGTGATTTTACTAACTATTAAAGCTTGTATTATGGTAACAAATTAGTCGATATGGAAAGTAAAACTCTCCAATTGTTGTAGGGGCAACACCTAGAGGAATTCTAAGGTTGATGATGGACGTTGAAGGGCTAACTATGAACCACTTGAAGAGTCACTTGCAGGTTTTTAAGTTATTTTATACTTAAACTAATTAATAAGATTTTGTCACAATATTCGAAATGAAGCTTTTTTTTAATATAAATTTACTTATTTTTGCAGAAATTCAGACTGGGTAAGACAAGAAGAATGTATAAGAAGCCATTTATACTTGGAGACTACTGTAAGTTCATTTCTTTAATAACAAGAATAGATGTTTGATTGTTATGTGAATGCATACTTTATATATGTGAAAACTAAGTTTATTCAGATAGAAATCCACAAGTATAATCTCAAAGGTTTTAGAGAAGTTTTTGGTCCTACTAAATAGAGTTGAAAGCTAGTGGTTAGCGTAGAAACTTTTACTAGTTATATCAGTCAGTAGACAACTTTGTTGTCAACAAATGTTTCTATGTATGAAGGTACGAAGATTTTTTAGAGACTGTTTGAGAGTTTTTTCAAAAGATTTTATCACAATATTCAAAATGAAGCTTATTTTATCACAATTTCTCTAACAGTCATGAATCTTAACTATCAAAAAATATCAAAAGGTTGCATATGATACTGCAAAGAACTAGTTGCTAGTATTAAAATCGTTCTTTGAGTTTTCCACTGTTCATATTGAAACTTAAATTTTTTGCCTGCAGTAACCTTGGCAGGTCAAGGATCTTCAAGCTCCAGGACACTTGATAATAATATTGGGTATATACAACTCCTTTTCGTTTCATGTGTTTTATTATAATTGTAACATCTCTATTTCTCTTTACACAGCACATCTCTATTTCTCTTTACACAGTATTTTCTGGAGAATTAGTTTCTGATTCTTATTCCTATTTCAGAGTTCCATATGAATGCCAAATGAAAACAGTTAGAGAACAGGCTTATAGGAATCTGCAGCTTGCACCAGTTGAGGTAAAATTTTCAGAATATCGTGTATAACAGCAAGTAATATTTTCACAACTATCACAATTTGTGGGGATTATATTCACATCTACATGCAAACAACACAGCACAGCATAGCACATATTCATATAATTTTGCATACCTTAATTGACTATTATTCTGCATATTGATGAGAAGCCTCAGTCCACACAACAGAATTTAGACTTGGGAAAAGATTTTGCAAGTGATTCTGGCCATCAGCAAGCACCTGCTTTACTGCCACTATTTCCAACACAGCGGTTAAACATGTTGCAAGGACCAGCTAAACAAGTTGCTCCTGATCAGCCTACTAACGATACTTCATTGGCAGTAGATGAATTCCTGAATGCTCTTGGCTGCTCGTCCAAGTTGGCCGTGAATAATGCCCAAGAAACCAGTCGAGCAAGTGCAAATTGTGGGAGCTTTATGGATGATTTGGCAAACTTCTAGGACATGGATAAAGCTGGTCAAAGAGCATTCGACAATGTGGTGGCAAATGATAAGTCTGGGGGAGAAACTGGGAACTCCCCGTGAATGTTGTTTGTTTAATTGAACATTTAGTTTGTTTTTGGGGTGTGCAACTAGAATTCGAAATGCTTTTACTAACACAAGGACATAACTTCCTTGTTTTTGTTATTCTCTATGCTTCTGCTTTATTTGAGTAATGTTAGTATACATACTGTATACCAAATATTTAGATCTTGTTGTCTTATGGTATGTTTGGTAATGTGTAATGGGTAGTATAATAAGGTAAAAATTTTGTGTATGCAATATAGCATACCGAATATGTCCTTAGTTTACATGAGACATATTTCGCAAGTAATTCATACCATCAGTACTAGAATACCTAATTTTAGTCTAAATCAAATCATGAATGACTGTAACAAATGACCCAAGAAAGAGTCCAGTATAAAGAGCTTTCCTTGATAAATCCAGAGTAGTACCATTTAGCACCAGTGGTGTTAACATTGGTCTAGGTAGCAACACTTTCGGCATTAAATCACGTGTTCAATTAATTGTAAAGAATTATATCCCATTGAATGGAAACTATCATGTGTTGCCACTTAGACTTGTGTCAAGCACCACTAGTACTATATAGCATTATTTGTAAATCCATTTTGTTTCAAACATGGTAATAATCGACCATCCAGAATAAACTAAAACAGTTGATAGAATAATTAATTGGAACAACAATAGTGCTCATATGGAAAATTAGTAATGTTACCTCCAATCTCCATCTCAAATCGAGTTCTCCACCTGCACCCTCCGACAAGAATTAGGAGATAATAAGCTGAAAATGGAGATGACTCAGAGTCCGCATTCAATAGCGCTGTACTTCCACTGAGAAGAAATTGGTTATTAGATAGATTACAAAATGAAATTGAAGAGGCGAAAGAAAAAAGACTAGGTAGCACAAAATAAGAATGAAACAGCTAATCCACAATTTAAATACTGCTGGTATCTCTAGCCTAGAGAGACCGGAGGAGGTTATAGAAGTACTGAAATGGCTCAGTTGAATCTGAGATTATCTTCTCATGCTGCTGTGGAATTTTCTGTACCCTGCAAACTAGAATTCTTCCACTGACCAAATATGATAACCTGAAGCAAGTCTTTAGTCAATCCACTGATGAGAAAAGGTAATGGACAAAGTAGAATGATACAAGGAAACCAATTGTGCCAGTAGAAAGCATGACTGAAAAGGCTATTATCAGGGAGTAGCCAAGATAAAGTATTGCTCTGAAGCTCAAAAACCAGATGATTAATTGAGTACAAGAACACATAAAGGGAAACTGAACTTGATGCATAGAATACTTTCCACCACCACATCCAATCCTCATCACAGAGATGCATGTATGTGAGGCAACAGAAACTTCAGCACGGACAATAACCAACAAAATAAGGACAATAAGCAGGAATCCAAAGACGTAATAGAACCTTCCAAGCCATATGCTAGAGAGGATGAAGAAAAGTTCAATAAAGAGGGTTCCAAATGGAAGAGTTCCAGCACCAAGAATGAGAAGCCATGACGGATATTTGCGTGCAGGAATCTCTCTAGGGATTTGATTAGTTCGAACTGGATACTGAATAGGCTCAGCTCGGGTGCCCAATAATCCTCCTGAGAGAGTAAGTGGCACTGAAATGCAGAACCAAAGAGGCAAAAGGATAAAATATAAGGAAATTTCCCCGAAGGAAGAAATTCAATGCTGTGAGAATAACAAATACAACTTCCGGAAAGAAGCATGCTATTGACAAAAAAACTGAACTCCACCCATCAGAATGCCCTTTGATAGTTCTCAAATACGTACACCAACATAACCAGATGCAATTCCCAGGAAAAGGTAAAGAATTATCATCCCCGTCAACAACATACCCCGTGAAGCTGGTGACATGAAACCAAGAGCTGCACAAAAGATAGATACAACTGCCATCCCAGTAATCTGAACTCCATCCCCAATCATCACACAAAGTAGCATCGAATGATTTGGTTCTCTGAACACGGGGCTCCCTCCATTTTGAGATAAGCATCCCATCGAGATGGCTATCTAATATTGCTTTTCACAAACTCAACCTCATATGTAAATGAAACTCTCTCTCGCTCTCTTCTAACTTGAGACTTGTCAAGCTCCTGTGGACAGCTTACTGTTGTAAAATTGTCATAAATGTGGAGTTTTGCCATCTTCTCAGGATCATATTTTACACTGCAAAAGACCACCTCAAAAACTATAATCTCATACCCTGAAGTCTTGTTTTTATCTGCTCGAGAAATAAGATCCATACCTTCTTCCCCAGTACCAATTACCTCCGCTGCAGCTCCTTCATACTCATGATCAGAACCCTAAACATGAGGAGGTTGATGATATAATCATCATTACTGTTGGCTGCAGTGTAGCCAATTTGAAACCCAGTCCACTGAATTTTATCCCCATTTTGGTCAGTATACCTCATGGCAGGGATATTGTCAAGTATCATATTCACTTGATATACAGATCATGTGTTCTCTGCTTCAAAAGTGTTAACTCATGCTCGCTCAAAGGAAGAGTAATGCAGAGGTAAACAGACTCATTCACATTCATGTGGAAACGGTAAGGAGAGTTGTCAATTTGATCTCCCATGAGCAGTTCTCCAAGATTATCTGCACTTTTCTTTACTCCCCCTTGAGGTTTGCAATAAGGAAGACTGTAATAGCTGAAGGGAAGTTAAGTTTCAATTGAGGTCAAAGAATTCACCTTGACATATATTTCATCCCCTATTGAGTATGTATGCATGTAGCTTCCGGGAAGATAAAACCCATCACATGTTTGAAATAAGAAAGTCAAGTACATGACAGCAGCATATCGTATCCTTCTTGAAATTACAGGCAACGCCATTGTTCAGAAGAAGGATATCAAAGCAACTATCCTCTAACCCCCACTCTAAGCCACAATTGACGGAGCACACAAAATCAGCATCAACTCTGAGAAAGGAATATTTTTTGCATCAGTACACTAGTTTCTTTCTGCTTGGATTTCATAAACAGGAAAGAAAAAATTATGCCTATGAGCTTTTCAATTTCTCATTTTGTTAATAATAAAATAAAGCTGCCTTCATCTAAAAACCCAATGAAATTGAAAGCTTTCAGCTGATAAACTACATATTTATCAACCATCTACATAGTTATAACTTAAAAGCGGTGAAGTTTACTTAACTTCCAATCTAGACAGATATAAATATAAAGGAACCTATCCATTATAATTGTACATAGCAAAAAACTTAGTTCTATAGATATGCAAATTGTATATACATATATATTTTTACATAAATAGAAAACAACATTGTTCAAATGAAAATAGCACAAAGAAGATCCCTTGAAACTGCATCCAATCTATGTTTTATATAGAATTCAACCTAATTTAATCACTAATACTGGTTAGATAAGTTTTCTTCCAAAGAATCCATCCTCATTACTCCTTTGGGAAATAAATACTTTGAAAAAGATTTTGTATGGACATGATAATCTTAATTATCTTTTGAGGAAAAATTATTAAACAGTGCTATAAATGGGAGTAAACTGGCCTTCTATAAGATGTCACATTGCGCAGTCCTACACGTGAAATAATTAATATAAAGTCAGTAAACGAAAAGCCGGAACAATTGCAAACCAGCATGAATCAGACATTACGTAATGCCAAACGTCACAAAATTACAAAGATACCATAAATCATCGGCCCAAACTATCGCTATCAACTGTTTTTCCAATTTCTATGAAATGAACTAAAATCTAGCCACTAGCTTTCACAAGCAAATATTTCTACACCTAAACCTAATGGTGCAGCAACATATATGAGTATTAAAAAATTCACAAACACCCAAATATAATCACATTACTCTACGATGTATTATCCTAATTATACTCCTCATATTTTAGAAGAGCGTTCACAAATATCCAGTCAATACAACCAATTTTGCTCATATCAATATTCAGAAATCTAATTTGACAAAATCTAAACAAGAAAATGAAATTTTAAAATCGGAGCCGTCAGCCGTAACATAGATCCACAATAATGAAGCAAAAATCCAAACTCTTCAACATCTAACGGAAACATATTAAATAAACAACAATAGAACACGGGTAAAATCTTCAATTGAACACAAGATAAATAAAAAATCACAGGTATGTAAAGAACGATAAATAAAACAAAAAAAAGGTACGATTTTTTCAGATTTTTTTATCAACGTATAACTGTAAATACATAATGTGAATTAACATATGCATTTATACACTTACCAGCGGTGGGACTGAAACTGATTAGATTCAGAAATAACTAAGATTAGGAGAAAATCAGAGTTTTGTAAGATTCGTGATATCCGTTTGCATGTGCTTTTGAAGTTCAGATTTTTAGATATCAATCTCGGAGAGAGTGACTCATCACTTATGAGGCAGCCAGGGAGAGTCACGTTAATTACAAGTAAATAAGTACTTTTTTCGAGTAGCTTATTCAATTAAAGATATATTAGAAAGGTAAGTTGAATGAAATGAAATGTACGGTATAGAATGTGCAACTGAGGAAGCTAAAGTCAACGAACCATTACAAATTGGGTTAAACCCCTTTACCATGGCCACGGAGGCCTTGGTAATGTAGCATAATTCTTACTAATTTGTATAGAAAGAAGGCTTGCGACGAACCATTATAAATTTATTTAGAAATAAAGCGCGGTTTAGAATGTGTAACAAAAGATGCTAAAATTGATCAACAGTTGGGTAAAAATAAAGCGCGAACTAAGATATGTAACAAAAGTTAAAATCGATCAACAACTAAAAGGTAGAAACAAAGTACGGACTCTAATATATGACAGAAGAAGCTAAGGAGTGGGTCTCACATTCTCAGCACAAGGGATTTAGTTTCACAACCCAATGATACTAACTAAAAGGGAATGTCCAAAATAAGAGACGGACTAGACATTGATCTTCAAGGTTATTGACATGAATCTTTTCCATTACGATGAGACTCAATCCCCAACTACTAGCTATCAATGGCCTCTCCTCAACTTCATTATCTCTTTGTAAGGACTTAAAAAAAAAATATTTGTCAGAAAAAGTATACGTCTATATTAGGAAACTAAGTCAATATTAAAAAATAAAGTATAAAATATTTGTTATTTTCCTTTTTTTTAATATTGTTGAGTAATCTTTTATACTTTATAAAATATGCCAAAATGGTAAATGTTGTAATATTTGCTACTTCGTACCGGACTTCATCACAAGTCAAATTGTTCTTTTGGTGATGGAAGAGTTGAACTTTTTCGAACATACAAGGAAGAGACATTTTAAGGTGTGTAGCAAGTTGGAATGAGAGAAATATAACACTATAGGTTGAGCAATGCATATTCTTGCTCGAGCATATGCTTAGTGCAACTTGCATTGAATTTCAAAATTTTTAATTTCTAGACAAGAATCGACAGCTCTTTTTATGGGGAAACACGTCCTTTCATGTATATGTGGAATTGCATCCATAAAAAGATGTATTTTATAAAAGATTAACACAACAAGAACATATATTCATTGAAATTTTAATCTTCCAAATCCTTAAACCCTAAAAGCTAGTTTTTTTTATAACTTCATGACAAAATTTTCTTAACGCGTTCAAGCTATTTGTGTTCCGATCTACTTTCATCCTTTCTTTGAAGGTTCTTGTTTCAATCTTCATTCTTCTACATTCTTTGTAAGTTGAACAGATTCTGTTTCATTTTTGTTGGTGTCTTCTTTCCTTCCCTTCCTAGTATAATCTCGGAGCTCTTTTGTAATTGTCTACAACAAGAACACACTTCGGAGAGCCTTTACTGGGAATTTCCCATTGTCTCCTTAAACGTGTGTGATGATGTTGTCGATTATTAGATCAAAGCACATTGGAGATCGAACTAGTAAGAGGCAGACAAACGACATCAATAACATTCCGAAAGCACGTACAATACGAAACATCATTAAAGTACTAACAAAGTTTCCAAGTCGTGAACATATCTGGAGTTTGTAGATTACATATGAGATGCTGAATTATCTGCACACATGATATTACAAATCTGAGAGAAAGAGATATCATACGACTACAATTTAGTGGAATTTGAGGCTGGTTAAGACATTGTTGTTCACAGGATCCGCCAAATGGTCCAGCAGGTTTTGGTAGGGACCAACCCCAGTCACCAAAGCTTGTATAAAGTAACCCAAGATTGCCAACATAGCCAATCTTCCATTCTTCACTTCCTTCACCTTCAACTCGAACATGGATTTCTCGTCTTTACCGAACCCCAACGGGTTGAAAAAGGGGCCACCTGGGTATGCAGGGTCACCCGACCCTCCCAATCCTTTCTCCAAACCCAAAAAATATTGCTTGCCCATGGACCCTGGATTGGCCCAGTCCTGGAATCTCCGGTGCTCTGCGAATCCCACAAGTGCCATTTCGAAAACAAATAGGGTATAGTTATCGGCCCAGTAGTTATATGTTCCAGCTGGAGGAATAACTCCGGTCTTGAACCATGGGAGGGCTGTTTCTGCTGGAATTAAGCCAGCCTTTCCAAGAATTTCGGGCGCAATGGCTCCTATTGCACCCATCATTGCGCAACGCCCATTGAAGATTTCTCCGTAGGCTAGCCATCTGGGCTCAATGAATCCTCCAGTACCTTCAGGATCAGAGAGTCCCAATGGATCGAATCCATAGTCACCAGGGAGGCTGAAAAAGTTCAAAATACACTTGAGGACTTGCACTGATTTTCGTCTTTTTGACTCCACTATTTGTCGTTGGATCATAATTTGGTATTCAGTTTTGGCGAAAAATAGAATTGTCAAGAGCACACGAGTTTACCTGCCATCCAAGTAGGAAAGACTCTGCTTGGATGCAAACCAGAGCTGCCTGTCTGCTCCTTGCTGACAAAATAATCAATGGCAATGAGCAATTGAGGTTATAAGCATATGTGCAGTATAGTGAAAACGTGAAAGAGAAGTGGATGCAACTCTCTTATAGTGGTTGAATCGCTGTAGATTTGTGGGGCACACACACTTGTTTTCGATCTCTATTTTGTTTATTATTGCTCTCGTAAATAGCTAGGGATTAGAGTTTAGTCCGTAACAGACTAACCTTGACGGGAGGAGTAGAAGCAGCCTTCACGACGAAGGAAGCCTTCCTCGAAGATTGGACCGGCCTTCTTCCAAGAATCTGTCTGGCGACCTCAGCGGACAAGCTGATGGATGATGAAGACAACAGTGCTTGAGTTGCCATTTTCGTAGTGCGGATTACACCGGTTACAGTGACAATTTGCTACAATAAGCACAAGGCATGAAGGAAATAATGGCCAGCATAAGCCACTCGATTTGTGTGGGTCTAGATGAGTGTACAGAAATTGTGGCTGACATACGAGGGCTATAGTAAAAGATTAAGTTAGGATCTTGTTATCTAATGGAAATTGCACAAGTGGAAGGTTTGCTTGGATAAGAGATTTCATTGGCTTGTAGGAAACAAATATCTGAAACTCTGCCATTTGAATCTCTAAAATTTAGCAACCACATAAATGCACTTTGATTGTTTTTACGACGTTTTTATTTTTTTTTACCATCGTCTTTTATCTGTCATGAAAACTCGAAATTTGTATATTGTTTCAACTACACCACTTGATTAACCTCCCCATAATCTGGCATAGAAATTCCAACATGCTTAATAGAGAATCTGACGAGGATTCTTGTAGCCATTTGTGTGTTCTTTTTTATGCCAACTATGTAAAAGTAATATTGGGTAGTCAATGGACTATGTCTCCATTTATTGTATCAGATCGATCTAATATCTGTAAACCTAATATCCATACCATACTTGAATGATTTGAATGGGAGGCCATTTTGGTCACAAGAGAGGGGTGAGATGCATTTTGTCACTTCTTTTTCCTTATAGTTAAGAACACGGAGCACAAATAGATATAACTTTTTTATTTACATTTAGGCTGAACATTCACATCAATGAATGAGCTCTTCTAGTTTCTGATTTGGCTCGAGAGCTGCTCATGTTTTGGGCTTAAATTAAAATAAAAAATTGACAAGCTGCAAGTAACTGCGAGTTGACTCTTCCCACATGCAAGCGAGAGTCAGCTTACATGGTGAGCCAAGAGCATGACTGTGCGAGCCTATCAGCTTAGCTTGGCCCATTTAACACGCAAACCATATATGAAGGATTTCAAGGGGAGGCTGTTGGTCTTAAGAGAGTGCAATGCATTTTATCACTTCTTTTTCATTATAGTTAACGTGAGGCAGCAAATACTCATAACTTTCTTATTTACGTTTATGGTGAACCACTCTACATACATCAATGTTTTGAGCTTTGCATGTTTCTGATTTCATTTTGATTATCATTGTTCTCATAATTGAGATTAGGTCTTACTTCTGAACATATTTCCTATTGCCTATATACTTTTGATTGTTTCCGACTAGGTTTGCATATAAGGAGAGAATAAATTCATAAATAAAGGTGAAGCTGATGGCACCCTTAGTAATAGCACTTGAATAGTGTATAGAGAACATTGTGGGTGACAAATCGTCAGTGAACTATGTCCAGTAAAATTGGGACACCGAAGCCAAGACAAAAAATCTTAACTCATCATCGACTAACTTGGGACCAAGTTGAGTTTGGCTCCAAGTTAACCTTATTTCTCTTGAGAAATCTAGTTCATCAGTCGTTTGCCAATTAGCACATAATTACACTGAGCACACTCATTAGCAAAGAAGAAATAAGAAAACTTAATCACATTATTGGAAATGAAAGTTAGAGTATTCATTCTTAAGCTCAATGGACTCCAATAATTTGGTTTAGAGGTCAAAAAATTTCGCAAATAGTACTCAAAAGTTTTCAGGGCTATCATCCAACTGCTTTTCATCTTCTATATCTACCTCCAAGATTTCCTGAAATAATCAATGTATCCAGGTTATATCAATCTCTAGTAAATCATAGTCTGTAAAGAATTTGCAAGTATATATGTAAATGGTACATGGTCACACCACAGAACCATATTGTTGGCTAAATCCTATGAACTTAAATCGATTTCAGTGACCAACGGTTGCAAGCACGCATATAAGTTTAGGCCGAACCCAGTTTTTAACCGGTGGAAAATTATCTGAAAGGGATAGAATGACTGACAGGGATCCTCTGCTTCAAGTAATTGCCAAGCCTGGCCAACACAGTTGAACGTTTATGCCAAAATTTGCCCCCAAGTCTGATCTTCACATAGGGTCCATCCAGATCAGCAAGTTCTGCTTTTCCTATATCAAATTAAATATTTTCATATTATTTATCAAGTTTCTATTTAAACTGAAATGTTGAATTATCAGTTCTGCCTTGAGAAATCACCTGTTATGCCCACTGAAGAATCAAAGAGTTGTGCTAACTGCAAAACAAAATATATTCTAGGACAATTGTAAAGCATTTCCAAGTGAATATCTACACAAATGCAGCAAAGGAAAGACTTGCCTCAACTCGAGCATCGTCTAAGACCTGCTTAATGTTATCCTCTGTCAAATCGAGAGGCGAAATCGAGGCTGAAATTGCGCGGTGGTGCTGAGTGGCGGGAGCTGCCGGAAATGATCTCCACCTGTGATATGTCGGTGGCACTGGCGTCATTCTTAACTTTGTTGCTGCATTTTTTTGCTTCACAGCCAGAAAGTTTGATAGGGAATTGCAGGTAGGAGTGTAAAGTGCTGGTATTGGTTGGTGGTGGTGGTGCTTAGGAGAATGGAGAAGCGTCAATGGCATATTTTCTTTCCTTTCTGTGAAGTACCAGTGAAGAACTGTTTTTGTTATCCTCTTCTCAAGGGAATGTGTGGTGTCCTGGCAGTATCAAGGGAACTGACAAGTACACAAGTAGGCTTTAGAATAAATAATTTTCTTCATTTATTGAAGTTAGAATTACCTATTTGAAAGTATTTTTTGACTACTTGCCAAAATGAGTAATTTTTTTTATAAGAAAAAGAAATTTAAGAAGCATATCAATCGGACTAGTTTACAGTTAGCTAAGTAGTAATTGAGTTTTGACAGCTTGAAGAGCCTCGTGATTTTAACCAAATGACATGTTCAATTGTATAACTAATTTGAGTGAATATGTAAATGTTATTTTAGCCCCCGTTTGGTGCACATTTTGAAGGTAAGAATGCATTTTTACTGTTGATGTGATGGAGAATATGTGGTTGAAAAAGAAGGAAAAGTTATTGATATGATAAAAAATATTATTTTATTGAAAAATGTGTGGTTAAAAATGAGTAGAAGAATGAGAATGAAAAAAATAATATGAACCAAACAGGACACGTGCATTCTTAGAAATAGAATTTGAGTGAATATGTAAATGTTATTTTACACGTGCATTCTTAGAAGCAGATTATAATGACTTGATGATGAATCTAACGTTAATTTGACATCCATCATCGACACAATTCCCGGTCCACTTAGTTGATTTCAAGAACTGGTCAAGTCCTAACATATTTAAAAATAAAAGATTGCTTTGGAAATAAGTTAATACGATATTAAAGACACACCCTTGTATTTTCAAAAATCACATAAACCTCTCCAGCTTTTTTTATCTTAACGGATTTCCCCGTTTCACACAAAAACAAAAATAAATTTATATTTCTTATTTTACCCTTCTATATATGTATTACCTTTAAAAGTATTATTAAAACATATTTAAACCTTATTTCTTTCTCCTTTTCTCATTTCTTAAAAGAAATGTTATAAATTAATCAAATTGCTTCACTTGCAATATACATGGATGAAAAGATGGCATGACTCATGAGAAGTATATAAAATCCACAGTTCTTTGAGTCCTTGCATTAATCTTTCTCTTCTTGTTAATAACCTCTGTGCTCTGTTTAAATACAATATTGCGGAATAAACTCTTTTGGAAGAGCCATTTTATTCAACATTTACACTACCAAATGGAACATTCATCAGTTCATACTTTTAGCACTCAATTTTTTTAACTTCATGCTCTCTGTGAAAAATGACCATAAAATGAAGTCCAGACGTAACGAAAATATTAGCTGGCTTTGGACTCAATATCTTGCAAGCCACAAACCATGTTAGCAGGGACAGCTACATCGATCATCTTTGGATACGACAAGTTCAAATCTGTTAAGAAAACCAAAAACATTGTAAGAACATATTATGGTGGAGGTAGCATAACGAGCAATTTCTGCCCTTCAGGAATTAACCGGGCATCACTACTTACTTGCCATGATATTTTTAAACGTTTCCTGCAAAAGACGTTTCATGAGAAATTAGTTTGACAGATTTGAAAATATAAAGTTGCTTTTTGGCAGAAAAATGGAATTGATATTATCAGAACTAATTTCCTGTATCTCTATCACCTCATCTTTTGTCAGACGGGGATTATACAGCATTTCCTCTCCCACAGTACTAACCTGAAAAGAAATCGATGTGCATAAGCAACAAGAACTGGGTTTAATCGCGTAAACTATGCGTTTATAAAAACTGTAAAATTTAGGGTACTTACAGAGAATCCCTTGTAATCATGAGCAGGATACACCAATGTTTCTTTAGGCAAAGAAAAGATCTGTTTTCGGAAAATAATTTGAGGGGGGTACTTAGCAGGCAAAAATTTGGGTAGTGTTGAAACTCCAAAATTTTCTTAATTGCATTCAATTTATAGTAGATAATTAATTAGTTTCCTTGCCTGTGAATGAACAGACTTGTATAACTGCTCAGAACTTCCGCCCTGTAATAAAATTCAGAGTTAAATATAGCTAATTAGTAACTACTCTGTGAAACATAAAATGCAAGACTAGGATTAAGTGAAGGAAAGAAAACTTCCGGACGTGATTACAGTAATTTTTGCAACTTCAATTTTTGACAAAGGAAGTTCCTATATATCAACTCATTTGGCTTGAACGAATCTCACAGACAAAGGTACAACTGACATGAGTGAGACACTAACTAGTGATTGCTTTGCAATTTGTTGCTTTATACACCTACTTTTGAACCATTTTGGCAACAGCTGCATCAATCCAGTTAGACGCGTTAAGGTTCAAAAATAATATGAATTATCAGTGTCCACTAATTTACTATTTTCCTTGTCTTTCTGATTACTTAACTCATATGTTTCTAATACCCAAGAACTGACATATTCCAGTCAGAACCAAGTTGCTACATTTATGCCCATGCCAATATGCCTCAGAAAATAAATTATTGTACTAATATAAGCTGATTTTTTTAATACAAACTTTCTGAGGTTCCACAAAGCAGTTAAGCAAGAATTGCCAATGTATACAGAATAATCTCATTTGTCTCCTGATTGTGCCCTCCTTTCACTCTGATTATCACACTTTTAAATAAAATAAAATTGCTAAGGATCGAGAGAGAAGGTGGAAAAAGGAGGTTAGATGCAAAATTACTTGAGTTTAGGGTTAGAAAAGTAATGAAAAGGACATTCATAACATAATGCCTCTCATTAAGGAATTATACCTGAAAATCTGTTCTGCCACATCCACGTATCATCAAAGCATCGCCAGTGAAAGCTATTCTTGGTTGAGGCTGATTATGTCCATCTCCAGTGACATAGGTAACACAACCTAGGGTGTGACCAGGGGTAGAACGAACCTGTGATGGTTAAAACCCAAAAGATAAGGAAATGAATGACAGCATGCATGCATAAGCAGAGCTCTATATAAATAAAACTGTATGATAATAGATTGATGTACGTTTCATTTTAATAGCTAGATCGTTTTCCCTGAGTCAATATCATTCTTGTAATTTTCAGTTGATTTTTTGCAGGGCTTCTGCAAACAACACAACACAATACAATCAAAGAAGATCCTTAAAATAGGTCTATCTACATAAAGTTGACACTGAATCCATTGTTTTCAAGGTCACATAGACAATTTATGAATGAACCTCATCTATGGAAGCATCTAGTTGGCTTTGTCGTCATCTTGCTTGAAAAAGTGAAGAAAGAGAAAATGACAGCTGGAGTTTTTTCATTGAAGTGGTATAAGATACCATATATTCCAGTCAAAATTGGCATCATGGCCATAAAGGCAATATGTAGGGTGGTTAGAGGGTAATTCCTTGACTTTGTGGGAAGGCTCCGATGTCCCCCAACTATGGTGAGGTGTGGCCGAGTGATGTGGAATGAGCAGACAATTGCATGTTGGCCATGTGTAGGGACAATTGTAGAACATTTACCAGAATGTTCTACATATTTAACCAAAAATGTTGACTATCATCCACTGATTTTAATTGGTATTGAGATACATTTATTCTTTTATACTTTGATCCTCATAGAAATAGTAACATTAATATAAGGCCCAAATCCTTACAACGCAGACGTGGTATTAGTTTCTGAAATACACATTCTCTGTATCGTTTACTTGGCCTATAAACTGAATCCATATGGGAATGTTCACATATACATTCAGAAGCTTGTATACCTCCAGGAAGAGATCACCGAAACGTATTTTATCACCAGGTTCAACGAAAAGATCAGCTTTTGCATTACTTGCTTTGGAAATAATAGATTTCACTCCGGGTGCCTTACTCTGCAGGACACAGCCATGTTAAAGAAGAAAGAGTTAGAATGCTGGTGGAGAAAGTGAAACTATTAAGCGAAAAAAAAAGGCATTACAATAATAGAAACCAGTTCTCAAAAACCTCCTCCCCTCCAAAAGTAAAGGGGGAAAAAAAAGAAGCAATCTGTTCTGTTTGTTTAAAGTACATAGGATGTTAAGACATACCTTAATCAAACCAGTTCCAGTGACATGATCAGCATGTACATGAGTATTTATTGCGTATAGAAGCTTCAAACCCAATTCTTTCACAAGAGAAAGATCCCTATCCACTGTCTTGTCAACAGGATCAACCAACTGTATGCAGAATAAACTGCATCAGTATACTCTCAAGTCCAGAGCTAAAGAAAATATAAATCAGATGATTGAAAGGTGTATCAAACCAGATTAGCTCTTGTAGACTTTTTATGTACAAGCACAATGCAAAAAATAAAATAACTGTAACCAGAAAAGGGCATCCAAACACATTTGATATTTCAACTACCTAAGATTTTCTTTCTCGTTTTTGGAGTTTGTTATTTTTTAGATTAGAATCTACAAGATATCGTCCAGATTTTTCTGCACAGAACCCCTCTTCTGCCTTTTCTTCTTCTCTTTTTACCTACCTAAACTTTGATAACTGTATTTTCGATTACATTCTAATGTAATAACTGTGAGAAATCAAAAGAACAAAAAAAGAGGAAAATTGCATTATTGAATTTTGCTTCATCTGTCACTGTCCAAGTGAAACAAGCTTAAACGAGGAAGAGAATAAATTCAATCAAAAGTTTTTAAAATTTAGAAACATATTTGAATGTGATAAAAGAAGAAAACTTTTCAATCACAAGCCAACACATACTAAAATACAATTAAGCTCAATTTTGCAGAACCGTCTTACTCATACCCAATAAACAAATAGCGAGTACAAACGATTCAATTCCTAAGAAGAATAATTTAACAAACCAATTTCGTAATAACATGTATAATAAACATAAATTAACAAAAAAACTGACCAGGGCTGGTTTATCAGGATGAGAAGCATCAGCAAGAAGGTAAGTGTAAGTAGAAGATTCCTTCTCAAAGAGCTGGCGGAAAATCAATTTTGACGAAGAACCAGACGATGATCCCATTTGCGATCGGAACTTGGTAATTCTAATTACAGGAGCAGAAACTGAACGGAAATTGGGAGAAAAAGCAGTAGGGAAATGCAAGAATCGGGATTTCAGAAGCATTTCTTAGTTTCGACGATGAATTTAATAGAGTATGGCGATCATATCAACATCTATTTGTCAACTGGTTTTGGGATTATTTTAAGTGAAAATTAGAATTGATTTATGTGGGCAGATTCTGCCCAAGAATATAATCTAATTTTATTCCAAATTGATTGCTTTGGTAACGAAGATGATTTTCTGGTACGATGTCATTGGTTGATTGGTCCGTCACAAGAGAGATTGACAAGGTGATTGGCAGCTGGTTTTCCACTATTGTCCCCTCTGCGAGTGCCGGAACAGAAAGCATTTTGAAATAGTAAATTGATAGAGATTACGTGATTGAAGAAGAATGAAAAGTTATTGATGTGATGAAAAATATTATTTTATTAAAAAATATGTGGTTGAAAATAAGTAGAAGAATGTGAATGAGAATTTTAATGTAGCTCAAACATGAGTTACATCGTTTAATCAATTTGCTTTTCGAGTTCATGACACTTCAAACACTAAGATAAGAGATAAGCAGAGTGGGTCCCACACTGCGTCCGAGGTACTATATTAGTGAATTGGAGTCCAATGTATTGCCATTTGAGTGAATAATCGAGGCAAGTGTACATATCAAAGGAGGAGAGGGTGTTCGAAGTGGCAAGTGTATTGGACGAGAAGAGGAATAGGATGCTCAAGATAACAGAGGGAATAACTGAAGCCGCTGATAAGGTGTGTAGCGACCGAGAACTTTTAAATGATATAAAATTATTTCTCGAAAAACGTGTCGCTAAACCTTAACCCTAATTTTAAAGAAATAGCGCGTTCGTCTAGCCGTTATAAATGAATTTAAATTATTTCGAATCAAATCCAATATCGAGTAA